CTCTCTCTCTCTCTCTCTCTCTCTCTCTCTCTCTCTATGTGTGTGTGTGTGTGTGTGTGTGTGTTGTGTGTGTGTGTGTATATATATATATATATGTATATGTATGTGTATATATATATATATAGTTAAGAAAAGAATATTTGAATAATCTTTGACCACATATTTGAATGGTTCGCTATTCGATTTTACGAGAAATGTGTGGAACATGTTCTACTCCACGAGTAGATGAGTTTGATATATTTAGAAGTCGAAAAGTATATTTGAATGAAAGAGAAATTAATGAATGAAGTAGGGCTGATAAATTAGAAATTTAAAATTAATAAAAGAAAATAATTCCAGAATAAATTAACCACTCGAGCGATCAAGTTCTGAAAAAATTGGTCGAGTGCTCATACTAGAGCACAGTGAGCAGTTTTTGAACTGAGATGACTGTTTGTGAACAAGTTGATTTTTGAATTGTGTCTTTCCGAATGTAGCCATTCAACCTTTATAAATTGAACCCCTCTATGCTGGATCGATTCCCTTCAATTATAAGCAATCATTACATTCATTAACATCAAAATTTCAAGCAAAAAATTTGTATCAAAATTGGTTCTTTGCCATATGAAAAGGAGTACAAAACTTCGTTTGGTTTTCTTGTGATTCGAAGTGCTGCCATCACAAGATGGGATTGTCTTATCTTGAGAGATGATTATATAAAATATTACAAATAGTTAACTGTTCATAATCGAAGCTAAACATAGTATAAATTTGTTTAATAGATAAAAATAAAAAATTTGTAGACACTCCCTTTCTTAAAAATTACGTGTTAATGTATGCATCTACAACCATGCTTCTTAGCTATGTTTATGTTGTGTATTGAATTTCAGGTGTGATAGAATATTATGGAGAGGCAATGGCATTGAACAGTTGTCTTATATTCGAGGGGAGTCAAGGTTTTCCGATCATAGACCTGTATGTGCAGTCTTCGCGGTGGAGGTGGAGATGAAGAACAAAAATGCTTCAAAATTTAGGAAAGGTTTTTCATGCGCAGGAGCAAGAATGGAATATGAAGATTGTATTCCTCAAAGGCATAGCTTTTGTGAGTTTTAGTTACATATAAACTTTGAAAAGCTTAGTATATATGTTTAGGTTTTTAGGATACAATATTTTTCTCTCATTATACATACATATATAATCGATGAATTAACATATCCAAAAATGGGATCTGCGAAGATATATTGCTACTGGCTCATGTAAATGTTAGTGACAATGTTAAAGGAAAATTATAGCTAGATGTACGGCATAAGTTAAGGGCCCATTTGGAAATATTTTTGCTTCTGTTTCTCATAGAAGAACTTTACAAAAAAAAAAAAAAAAAAAAAAAAAAAAAAAAATCATGTTAAACAAATCTCCTCTAAAAATGCTTCTAACCAAACAAAACACTTAAAAAAAAAAAAAAAAAAATTTTTTTTTTTTTTTTTTTTTTTTTTTTTTTTTTTTTTTTTTTTTTTTTTTTTTTTTTTTTTTTTTAAAAAAAAAAAAAAAAAAAAAAAAAAAAAAAAAAAAAAAAAAAAAAAAAAATTCACGTTAAACAAATCTCCTCTAAAAATGCTTCTAACCAAACAAAACACTTTCAAATAAATTATACAAACATATTCAAAAGCAATTTTTTTACTTTCAAAAGAGGCAAACGGGCCTCAATAGTAGTAAGGTCTTCAACTTTCAATTTATAGAAAGTGTACCCCCAACTAGAAGATTTTAAAGTCTATCCCCTACTGGCTTCTTGTTGTCCCAACACACCCTGAGCCCAAACCTTTCCTAGTTTAAACAAAGGAGAATACACACAAAGAAACTTGTGTCCTCTGCTCTTAGAGATCCCAACACTGGGTACATTATTGCTATTATTATAAAACCTAAACAAATTGCTAACAATGCGCTGATAAGCCAATTATACAATAATTTGGAATACTGTTCACGAAATAATTCTTTCGATTTAAAACTATCGCAAATGTACGGATCGTAACAAGTAATAAAGTGGATTTTTAAAAGTCCGAATATCGTCCCACGGAAATTGAGTAGTTCAATTCTATATAATCTAGTCTTAACCGAATCTAATTGAGTGAAAATATGGTCCAAATGCAAAAAGCTATAATTTCTATGAAAAACCCTAATTTCAATTAAAAACCCTAATTTTTTAATTAGAAACCCTAATCTCGAAATTTCTCTAATTAAACGACTCAAACACTCAAGTAAATGAAATTATGCAAATTCAAAAGCTAATTTATGGAAATGAATCAAAATAAAGTCATTAGGATCACGAATCCCCAATTGAAGCTATAAAAACCCTAATTTCATAAAATCAATGACCCGGTGGAAATTTGCCAATTCAATGTTTCTAAATCTATCCAACATATTCTCTCGATATATATTAGACCTATTCTTGCACACCACCAGTCTATATCTCTATGGATGATGCAAATATACAAGAATGCATGTGATTTTGTGAACAATTAGAGAATTGCATAAAGCATAGGGGTATATCTCTATCCCCTATCGGACCTTATGTTGATTTACACCTTATTGAACCTATTCCACTTCTCTCGAATGTAAGAAATAAGTTATCAACACTCACACAATCATTGGCCACTAAGTGCGAAAGAAAATCAATGCATATAAACCAATCAAATTATCCAAACGAGTTTTTATATTAAATTCATGAAATATGGAATTAAAATAACAAACAATGGTTCATCGATCACGTAGTGAATTGAAAACCTAGCCTAGAATATTCATAATTACAGAATAAAAAATGAAATTAATAAATTAAAAGAATAGCACCCGTGTGAAAATTTCTTGAAATCTTGAATAAAGCCTTGAAAGGCCGCTTGAATTCTTGTGGAATCGGCTTCAAGATCGTGTTTTTTGCCTCCAAAAGTTGTAATTTTCTTCTCTCTGGATGTTCTACCCTATTTCTGATGAATTTTGACTTTTATATCATGTTCTCACGGAGCCCCGAAAGAGTTTCAATTAAAAACGCAAGTTCAGAAATTTTTTTGATTTTTATAGCCATACGACCGCATGGTTCAAGTGAACTGCCTCTATGAAATCCTTGCAACCTTATGTGCGGCTGCATGGCATAGTTATGTGCGGCCGCATGGTTGTAACTTTCAACTTTGCTGTTTTGGTCCTTGAACTTCGTTTTCTCTTTTCTTGATCTCTTTTCTTTCTTTCCTTTGTTCCATCATCAAATATTGACTCCTAATTGACGTTTGGGTCAATCAATTCCTTGATCACTTGCTCGGCTCATCTTTTGATTATTTGTAATTTAGTCCTTCATCTTTCACTTTTCTTCAATTCAGTCCAATATTACTTCTTTCTTCCTCCGATCGTCTTGTATCGTCCTCAATCTCATACTTGGTATATTTTCATTCTCGTTCTGCACTTTAGCTCAACTTTCCAATATTTGCACCTTTGGTCCCCGAACTATCGCTTTGTTCTGTTTTGGTCCTTTTTCAGCTCTTTTCTTCTGAATTCCATCTTTTCCATAGAAATACCTACATTGCATGAATTTAACAAGATTAAGTCATAATTCAACTACTTTGTCCATGTTTAAATCATGTTTGTGAGCTAAATAAGTGTGTAAAAATACACTTATCAAATACAAATCTTGCTAATACAACAGTTGACTAACGAGTTAATTGTGATGGAATTCTTCTCTTAGGAATCAACAAGTATCAATTTGTCAAACATAAATTGACATCGCATCTTTATCAAGCTCTTGTCAAAGATGTGAGTGGCTTGAAATGCGAAACATAGGGAAATGTGATCGTATGATCAACATAGGCATCATGAACATAAGTTTTCATGAATTTCACGATTTTCACTAATTTTGATGGCATTGTACTATCTACGTGCGGAAAAGTAGAGCTTATTTGAGGGAACCCTAACTCTGATAAAAGACTACGTTGCCTGACAATTTCTAAACGAGCTAATGACATAGTCAATATTCTGCTTCCGTAGAGAATGTAGACCCTTCCGTGTTTCTGGTGTTTACATGAAATAAAAAAATCGCCAAGATACGTACACAAACCTAGAGTTTGAATGACAAGAATATAGACAATTCTTATTCATAGCATTGTATTTAATAGAAAGGAACAATATCCCATATATGATTTTTGGTCAAGGCTTCCATGAGCTTTATCAATCTTTCGAGGGTCAAATTACATCATTTAGTGGTTTTTTTTTTTGTTAATACTTCATTTAAGCATATTTTTCGTCTTTTCGCAATTTTTTTCTCATTTTATTTGGATTTATCTACAGAATTCAGATCACAATGTGATCAGAATTTGTTTTGAGTTTTTAAATACCTATTAAGATTGTGAAAACATTACATTCAATTCTTACGTCCGTTGGAGCGAAATTCGATTAACATCCATTCGTATGTTACAAAGAAGAACATATTATTATCATTCATGCTTTCGTCTTCCGTTATCAGCTATTTACAAATTTGACTATGTAAACAATATATGAACATGAGATGAAATAAAATAAAAATTAGAAACGTATCATATTGTTTCGATTAACTACAAAATGTAAATAAATTTTAGTAAGTGACATCCGTTGGAAAAATTCCAACGAATGGGGCCACAAATTTATATATATTAAAATGTGTGGTGCTATTTTAAGGCTTAATTAATAAAGTGAGCCATTAAAGTCAATTTTTGAACAAATGGATATTAAATGTCATGGGAATAGAATGTAGAGATCGGAGAATGTTATTTTAAATTGATGAAGGGCCAATTTGAAATAACATAAAGATAATAATTGCTTAATGCAATTATTTATATCAATAAAGTACTTAAGAGGTTTGACATGCAAGACTGTAAATCAAGTGATGCTCCTGTCACTAAGGGAGACAAATTTAGTCTCTAATAATACCCACAAAATGATCTTGAAGTTAAGGAAGTGTAGAAGATTCCCTATGCATCAGCTGTTGGGAGTCTAATGTATGCTCGACTTTGTACACGTCCAGATATAGAATTCATTGTTCGAGTGCTAGGCACATATTTGAGCAATTGTGGGATGGATCATTGGAAGACAACTAAAAGGGTTATAAGATACTTAAAGAGAATAAATGATTACATGCTCACGTATAGCAAATCGAATCAGTCAGAGATCATAAGGTATTCAGATTCTGATTTTGCTAGATTCCAAGACGGTATGAGATCCACATTAGGTTATATCTATCTGCTAGTTGGAGGAGCTATTTCCTGAAAAAGTGCCAAGCAGACACTCATAGCTTCTTCTACCATGGTAGCAAAGTTTGTATCATGCTATGAGGCATCTAATTATGGAATATGGCTAATAAATTTTGTCACTGGGCTGTGCATTCTAAATGGCATAAAAAGACTGCTAAAGTTATATTGTGACAATAACTCAGTAGTTTTGTATTCCAACGACAACAAGAGTTTATCTAAGTCAAAACACATTGACATTAAGTTCCTGGTTGTGAATGAAAGAGTACAAAATGGACAGATTTCTATAGAGCACAATGGGACAAACTCCATGATTACGGATTCCCTTACTAAGGGACTGCCACCCAAGATCTTTCATGAGCATACTGCTTGTATGGGTGTTGTATTTCTTGAGGATACTATATTTTAGAGGGAGTTTGTATTCTCATTGCATTATGTTCAGTTTTTTGGACATATTTATGTATTTGGATATTTTTCTATACATAAATGAAGCATTCAGCTTATTATGCTCTGTTATTATGTTCATTATTGATCTCACTTAAGAATGGACCAATTGGAAATAGATATATTCGAATCACATGACATGTAATTCCCATGCTACTCGCACACAATTGATTTGTGTTATTTGGTTGTATGGGTGTACATGACCATTAATGGATTTATAGTCACGCTAAACGTAACGAAAATCACTTTGATCCTACATCAATATAATTGATGGACGGGATTGTTTTGAAATACCCTTAATAATAGTAGCAGAGTTTTGAGCTCATAAAGCTAAGCATATTTGTAATATTACATTTATGACCCCATGGGAGATTATTGAAAAAAATTTAACGTATGAAGCCACACGTATATATATTAAAATGTGTGGTGCTATTTTAAAATTTAGTCAATAAAGTGATCAGTTTTTGGATTAATGAGTATCAAATGTCATGAGAATAAATCTTAGAGACCGGAGAAGATTATTTTAAATTAATAAGGGGTCAATTTGAAATAACACAAGATAATAACTGCTTAATACAGTTATTTTTTATGGGTCATGGTCCCCAATTATACGTAATTTTCTTTCATCTCTCTGCACCCCCATCAACAAAGAAAAGAATTTCAAGAAATTATGTAACAATTGGAAGATTATAACCCGTTCAACACACGCACATTTATGGATCAAGGTACACTTTCACTTTTAATTTTCTCTTTGATTTCAACATGGAGGATTTATGTACTTTTGCATAAGGATTTTACTAAAGTTTTGGTTCCTTTTCAATTCCTACAACATCAATATCTTTTTCGCCGATAATCAATAATCAAAGCATTGTTGATGGTTGTCGATAACATTGTTGTTGGTGAGTCGTGCCCAAGGTGCATCAATGATAATCAAAGGCACCGCTATTGATAATTTGATATGAATTACCAATATATTTTAGTTGTTAGGATTGTTGTTCATAATACTACAGATAATTATCGGAGAAAATTATGTTGATGATATTTTTTGTATTTAAAATTTTTAATATAACGATTGAAATACTTCATTTATGATTGTTCAAATTACTTGATTTGCCTCTGTATTTAATAGGCTAATACAATTTTTTTTCCGAATTATCATATATTAACCTATGTTTGACAATAATTAAAATAGAACCCTTTTTTTTTTTAATTCATTTTCAATCATAAATTCTTACAATAAAGTATTCCACAAGTAAAATAAAAAAATTTTCCTTACTTTTAAAATATGCATTCTTCAAAAAATCACTATTTCAAAACTCATTTTGACCAAACCCAAAAAAAAAAAAAAAAACAGTGGTTGTCAATTAGGGGCTTAATGGAATTACTTTCGAGATTTAGTCACATTTTTTGCCCCAGGAACGCGCCCAAATTCACAATTCAAAACTAAAGGCGCTCAAAGCAGACAGCGAACATTTTCCCTCCTCCTTTTTCTCAATCCACTTCTCGCTCGTAACAAAGCCGAAGACCCAATTTCCCCAAATTTTCTTCTCTCTTCCTCAAGGTGAGTACCAAATTTTATACGTAGATTGTTCCAAATTCACACCAGGAATCTGACATATATCATTTTACAATCGTATATTTTTTTTTTTTTTTTGGGTTACAAAATGCTTTGCATACTTCTATTATTTTTCCGATTAGTTCTTGTTTCCTGATATAGATCTGTATTCAAAAATTATTACTTGCGATGTATTTATATGATTTAGGGTTTCTATCCGTGTTTGTGGAGCAGGGGCTGGCAAATCTATGATTTTGGAGAAATCTGTTAAGTAGGGTTGTGAACCAAGTGTTAGAGAGTCAATTGTGAAATTGGGTTTTGAATATTTGGGTTTGAGTTTGTTGCATAGAGTGAATTTTCGTGATGGCCGAGAGGAATGCTTCTGATGGGTATAGGAAACTACGATCAGTGTTCGGTGATGTCACGAATCAGCTTGGCAAGAGGAGATCTTCAGAGAAAGAAACATGTGAAATTAAGAGAAATAATTTCAACGATCAAGATAAGGTTAAACAGCCACGTGGTTTGCCTCGCCCGTGTACCGAGATTAACTCATTGAAAGGGAATGTTATATCGAGTATTTCAAAAGTGCCCAATGAAAACAAGGACACAGATGGTTTAGATTTTTGCGAGGATTCTGCTGTTCTCAAGAGCATAGTTGTAGTTGAAGATGTCAAAAATAGGAGCGAAAGTGAGAATTGTAAAAAAATGAAGAATGTTAAAATAGGTAGTTCAAAATCTCTTTATGAAAATAAGGACCCCAAGATTGTGGATCTTAGTAGTGAGGATTCTGGTTCCAAGATTGTTATTCAAGGGGATGTAGTTGATAATGACATTGCAGATCGCTGCAATGCGACCAATTCTTTTAAGGACAGTGCTATTTCAGGGATGGGTAAAATGTTGAGAGAAAATACTGTTTACCCTAATTTAGTAGAACTTGGTGCGGGCAGAGCTTTTAATCAAATTGAAATCGAAGCTGATGTTTGTGATGGGATAGATTCATCAAAGGAGTGTGTGATTACAGGGATTCCAAATACAGATCACAAAAAGAAGTGCTCCAGCTTGATAGATACTGGCACTGGCAGAGTGGCTGAGGTTATTGTGAGCAATTCAGGAGATGGTGCAATGCGCAACTCAAAAATATCCAGCAAAAATGGGAACCTAAATTTATTAGATCTTGACAAGGGTAAAGGTCTCCATGGTTTAAATGCTGAAGATATTAATGAGTTCGTTGACAGTTTTGTTACAAAAATCTCGGTGCCAAATAGTGAAACTGGTGGTGATAGTGTTCTTGATGGAAAGAATTGCAATGATGATGAAGCCAAAGTCAGTAATGAAGGCACTCAGAGCGAAACTGATCGTCAAACTTATGGGGATGATGATAATGTTGATAGTTATGTCTTGAGTCAGTCTGGGTCCATTGACTGTAATATACTGCCTGAGTCACAAGAATCTAGAGTGTTTGGATTAGAGAGATGCAGTGAACTTAAAAGGGGCAATGAATGTGCTAATATGAGTGGAGAGATTGACTTGATCAAAGCATGCTCTTGTTCTTTTTGCACAAAAGGTATGAATCCATTTTTTACCTGTTCTTGCACGTAGCCTTATATATTGTCGGTCATGAAACATCTGATTGCATTTTTTATTGCTATATTATATATTCACTGTGTGTATTGATAAGGGCATGATTTTATGTGCAATCAGCTGCTTATATATGGTTGGACCTCCACTACCAGGACACCAAAGCTCGAATTTCTGGTGGGCTTATACATGCTTGTTAGCTACTATGTAACTATGACTGGAAAATTGTTTTCATCCGTTTTGATCTATTTTTGCTCTCTTTTCAATCTGTATTCAAAATTTTTAAGCAATAAAGAAGAGCCAAAAAGAAGCAAGCATTTTGGCTGCAAGAAGCTCTAGGAGTAAGGCAACTGAGAAACATGGTCTTGGAAACTCCTCTAGAGTTTCAAAGTTAGAATCTGATCTGATGCATCAGTGGAGGCATCTCTTCCAACACATGGTGGACACATGCGAGCACGAGTCTAACCAGCTTGTAAGTCCATCCTTTCTTTTGGAGATATTCTCCTATTTATCGGTAAAAACTTTTCCCTTTAAGTTAGTCCAAGGAAGTCTGCTGTTTCTGCATACATGAATGGTCTAATGATGCTGCATTTAGTTGTATAGTTAGTAAAGTTAACACATTCTTGTCTTTTGGATTCTTGGCTTTATTTTATGGTGTGAAACAGAAACCTAGTGTGAATAATTTTATTCCTGATCTATCAAATATCACCTAGGATGACATGTTTTTATGTTTTGTTGGATGGAATTGATGCTGCAGTTATCAATTGGCAAAAATGAATTTGGGCCTTTGAAAACAAAAAATAAATGCTATGAGCATCTGTACATGCAAAATACTTCTTTCTTAAAATGAAAAGCATCCGACTCCAAGGTTTATGGAGTTATTGCTAAGTTCTTATTTGTAACATGAAATTGAAGACAATGTTGATTTTATTTATTTATTGTGGGATAACTTTAGAATCACCAAAAATGGTTTAAGAACTAGTCCTGGAGACTTGATATTGTTGATTGAAGTGTCAATGCAGGTATAGAACTATTATACATAGTATTTTTGTACAGGAAATGAATACATGCCATGGTCTGAAAATAAGCTTATCTTTGGCTCATTGTTTCTATGTATTTATAAACACTTTGGTGAAAAAAAAAATACTTGGTGAAACCACTTTTTATCGATACATTTTGTAAAACCCAAAAATACTACCCACTTCATCATTCAATTATCATTCATTTACTGCTTTTTATAAACACCTTGCTACACATGCCCAAAATCAGAATTCTGAGAAACAAATGAAGGTGTTATGCACAAAAAATAATGAAATCCACTGCTCAAGTGCATTTGAAAATTGTATTATACCATTCGAAAATTGAACTTAACGTGTAATTTTACAACCCGATTCCTTGAAGTTTATAATTAGCTCCAAACGAAATGGTAAACTCGGGTTTTTGTTGAAACTTAACAAGTCTTATCTCTCTACACCCAGGAGGATCATTTCCTTAATGCGAATTGAAATTGGTTGAGCCGGGATATTATGGTATATATGTGCTTCATTAAGATAATTGGTAGTCAACCTCGTTAAGACTCCTTTTTAATTCTTCAATTTCATTGGATCTCCCGATTTCAAAATCGCTTTCTTTCTTCCACTCTGATCTAAAAACGAACCTCTTCGCAATCAATGATAGAAGCCATTAATCTGGAAAATGCATACTCAGGCATAAACATTTCTTTCCGGGAATAGTGGTTTTATTAAGATATCTTCCAAATCAAGATCTTGGAAGCATTAACTTACAGCAATTTATTGCCTTGTGCAGGAAACTAATCTACTACCACTAGTGGAGTTGAGGGAGCAATGCAGGACAGATTTGGAGCACATTAACGCTTCATCTTCAGAGAAGCATTAGTTTTGATTTGGAGGCTGAGATTTATTAGTCAATTCTACTTGGTTATTAAATTTCATAGCTTTAAAATTTCTTGTAGATGCAAAACACCTGCAAGGCATATTTGTCTGTTGCATGAAAATCCCTTTTACTTGGGATATTCAAGCTATGTACCTTCCTTTTGTTCTGTATTAGAGGAATGGCATGCTTATGCCTTTTTGTCGAATTATATCGATTTAGACATTTAGAGCTTGTTTGTAAACGTTGTCTGATCATGAATGTTATATGACTTTGGATTGTTGGGAGCTCCAAACAGGCACTTCTCTCTTCTCTCTCTCTCTCTGTTCGGGATGCTCTAACTCCATGGCCTCCGATCGAAATTCATTGCCGGTCGCCACAGCAACCAGTAAAACCTCCTCTCCAGTGCGGTCGCCTTCTTCTCTTGGACCCGCGAATGTGAGTGCCGTGGTAATTCTTCCATCGCTGTGAGTGCCGCCGCGATTTTCAACAGTGGCGATGTTGGATATGGTGGGTTGGGGCTCTGTGGCGGTGGCGCCTGCTGCTAATTCAGGGACTGCTGATAGGGCGACCGGTGCGAATGATGGCAAATGGTGATTGGTGCCGACGCGGGGAGTGGATTTGGGGTTTTTGGGTGTTAATATGTTATCTCTTTCTCTTTTTCGATCTGCAGTTAATGATTTGCCGTATTGGTGGTTGCTTGTTGTTGGTTTTTGGGTGATGGTGGTTGTGATGTTGGTTGGCGATGGTAAGGTAGTGGTGATGGTCATGGAAGTGGCGACTGTGGTTGTGGATGGATTGGTGTGAGATATGGTGGTGTTGGTTTGACTGTTTGGTGGTGGCGGTGATTTTGTGACTGTGGAGGTGGTGGCGCTCATGGTGGTGGCTATTATGGTGGTTTTTGGGGGCGGTGGAGGTGGATCTGCAGTGGTGGTTGTGGTATGGTGTTGGGGTAGTGGTGATACTGATTGTTGTGTTTTTTTGGTTGGAGTCGTGGTGGTGGTGGTCTTGTTTTGGTTGTGTCGAGGGAATTGGATGATTCTTGTTGGTAGTGAAACTGATGGTGGTGGTAGATTGTTAGTGTCGACGGCGAGATGGTGGCCGACGACAGGGATGGCGTGAGTGTGGTGGAAAGTGGTAGTGGTGGTATAAAATATGACCTAATATTTGATCTGTGACCAACTATTTGATCACCTGTGACCAATTCAAACTTAAAATTTGATAACTGTGACCAAAATAATTTGTGACCGATAAACTGTGACATGTGACTTGTAATTCGAATGATCTGTGACCTCCAAATAATATGTGACTGACAAAATTTTTGATTTGTGACTACGAAATAATCATTTAATCAATTAATTTGTCGATATGTGAC